CAGCATGCTTCTCTGATCCTGGGAGGAGGATCCTCCCAACACCCTTTATTCGGTGCTCCCTTCTCTAACTGAGCTGCCTTTTCCACTAGCATGTGTGGCTGGCCTCAAGTCATGGAGCAAAATTCCTGGTACTAATCTTGGCCTTGCTTGGGTGTTAGTCTCCTATTTTGTTACTTTATGTTATTTTCCTATTTTGTTACTTTATGTTCCCCAGGACTGGAATGATAGCACAGTGGTAGGGCATTTGCCTTGCAGGCAGCCAGCCTGGCCAAGCCAGGTTCGGTTCCTCCGCCCCTCTTGGAGAGCCTGGCAAGCTACCGAGAGTATTCAATATGCCAAACACAGTAACAAGAAGTCTCACAATGGAGATGTTACTGGGCCCGCTCAAGCAAATTGATGAACAATGGGAGGACCGTGACTGTAACCATCTTTTCTAATAGCTACATAGTACTCCATTGTGTAAATGTACCAAAGTTTCTTTAACCAGTCATCTGTTCTCGGACACTCAGGTTTTTTCCAGATTCTGGCTATTGTAAGGAGTGCTGCAATGAACAAACAAGTAAAGATGTTACTTCGACTATACATTTTTCCCTGTTTGGGATATATTCCCAGGAGTGGTATTGCTGGGTCAAATGGGAGCTCAATTTCTAATTTTTTGAGAATCGTCCATACTGTTTTCCAAAAGGGCTGAACCAGTTGTCAATCCCACCAGCAGTGAAGGAGGGTCCCTTTCTCACCACATCTGCGTCAGCATCGGTTACTTTTGTTCTTGTGGATGTGCACCAGTCTCTGTGGTGTGAAGTGAGATCTCATTGTGGTTTTGATCTGCATCTCCCTGATGATTAATGATGTGGAGCATTTTCTCATGTGCCTTTTAGCCATTTGTATTTCTTCATTGAGAAATTTTCTGTTCATTTCATGGTCCCATTTTTTGATGGGGTTGGATGTTTTCTTCTTGTGGAGTTCAATCAGTACTTTGTATATCCTTGATATCAACCCCTTGTTGGATGTGTATTCGGCGAATATCCTTTCCCATTCTCTAGACTGTCTTTGTATTTTGGATACTGTTCCTTCGGAGGTGCAGAAGCTTCTTAGTTTAAGATAGTCCCATTTGTCTATCTCTGTTTTCACTTGCTTGGCCAGCGGTGTGTCATCTTTGAAGACACCATTAGCTTCAATGTCATGGAGGGTTTTGCCAACCTTGTCTTCAATGTACCTTATGGACTGTGGTCTTATGTTGAGGTCTTTAATCCATTTTAATCTTACTTTTGTACATGGTGGTAGGCAGAGATCTGTGCCCCTTTTTTTGCATGTAGCTGTGCAGTTTGGCGAGTACAATTTGTTAAAGAGGATTTCCTTGCTCCACTTCACTTTTCTTGCCCTCTTATCAAAGATTAGATGATCATCTGCTTGAGGGGAGATGTCAGTATATTCAACCCTGTTCCTTTGGTCTACAGCTCTGCCTTTGTTCCAGTACCATGCTGTTTTAATTATTACTGCTTTATAGTAGGGTTTGAAGTTAGGGAGGTTGATTCCTCCCATTTTCTTTTTCCCAAGAATTGCTTTTGCTATTCGTAGGGTCTTATTGTTCCATATAAATTTCAGGAGTGTTTGCTCCATTTCTTTGAAGAATGTCATGGGTATCTTAATAGGGATCACGTTGAATTTGTACAGTGCTTTGGGAAGTATTGCCATTTTGACAATGTTAATTCTCCCAATCCATGAACAGGGGATATTTTTCCATTTCCTCGTGTCCTCTTTTATTTCCTGAAGTAGTGTTTTGTAGTTTTCTTTGTACAGGTCTTTACTTCCTTAGTTAAGCTGATTCCTAGGTACTTGATTTTCTGGAGCACAATTGTGAACGGAATTGTTTTCTTCATGTCACTTTCTTCTCTTTCACTATTTGCCTATAGGAAAGCCATGGACTTTTGTGTATTGATTTTATACCTAGGCACCACCAGTTTTTTGATAAAGAATTTTTTTATTTTGATTTAAGGGCCACACTCAGTATTGCTCAGGAGTTACTACTTCCGGCTCTACACTCAAGGATCACTCCTTGTTGAACCTTGGGTACCATATGTGGTGCAAGAATTTGCATCCAGGTCAACTGTGTGCAAAGCAAGCACCCGGCATGCTTCTCGCTCTGACCCCACAGGCACCATTTATCCTTGCAAATGTTTAATACATCCTCATGAGGCATCTGTGGTAAATATGCACAATGAAATATTAAACTGCTATAAGAAAAGATGAATCTTACTGTTTGATTACTACTCGTAAGGAACTGGAGGGCATTGTGTTCTCTAAAGTAAGTCAAAGGGAGGACAAATAATATATAACCTCACTCCTATGTGGTTTATGGGCAAACATAACAGGGTAACAGACTTTCCATAGTTGATGGGTCTGATGTGTTTCACTTAATCGATGAAACAGTAATGCTACTATAAAGTTTTATAAAGTTTTTCCTGATAGAAGACTATTAGTACTCCTGGCAAACTACACATTCTTTGAGGACCAACTCAATGAACCAGTATGCCAGGAATGTTTTCTTTCTAATGTGTTTTTACTAACTTACCTTCTCCCACAGAAAACTTTGGAAAATGTCTCTTTTCTTTCATTGTTAAGTACTATCTCTCTATTCCATGTTACCATAGTCCCAGCCCTCATAAAATATAAATGACATATTTTTCACTGCAATGTAAATTGTGACTAACAACATCTAATTAATTAGAGCATGTTACTATGAGATGAAATAATCATCAGACAGTGCTTTTTTATATTTATTTATTTATTGCTTTTTGTGTCACACTGGCGATGCTCGGGGTTACTGGTGGCTCTGTACTCGGGAATTACTCCTGGCGGTGCTCAGGGGAGCATATGGAATGCTGGAAATAGAACCCAGGTTAGCCGCATACAAGGCAAACGCCTTACCCGCTGTTCTATTGCTCCAGCACCAGACAGTGCTTTTTAAAAATATTCTTTTTCCTCACTTCCCATTAAAGTTAGGTTGGTTTGTTGTTGGGAAAAAGATAAATAAAAGGCAAAGTATCTGCTAAGAATCTTGTCCCCAAAGAGACATCGTTAATTATACCTATCCCTAGGTAGAAAGAAAGGTATTAGGAAATCACAACTAGCTAGGAAGATGGAAGGAGATGGAGTTACTTCTTATATAAAGGAGCCCAAACCATTACCTTCTTTTATTTGCTATGCAACTGTGAGGACTCTTCTTTCCATAATATCTCAGAATTGTATTGAAAATAACCAAAAAAACTTTGAAGTAAATATTTCAAATTTAAAATATAATAAATACACAGGAATTTTAATATTGCCACTATCATATTCTGTTGATTTACTTTCTGCTTTATTGTTGTATGAAAGTTACCTAACAAATCTACTTGGAGATTGTCCACTGAATCAGTGAGCAATATTCCTCGATTTGGGATTGTCTGTGCAAGTTATAAAAAGTCCCCAGTCTATAAGTTACTGTGAACAAATAGACATTTAACAAATTGCCTTGGGCTGGAGCGATAGCACAGCAGGTAAGGTGTTTGCCTTGCACGCAGCCAACATGGCCGACCCGAGTTCGATTCCTCCGCCCCCTCAGAGAGCCCGGCAAGCTACCAAGAGTATCTCGCCTGCACGGCAGAGCCTGGCAAGCTACCCATGACGTATTTGATATGCCAAACACAGTAACAACAAAGTCTCATGATGGAGACGTTACTGGGCCTGCTCGAGAAAATCGATGAACAACGGGAGGACAGTGACAGTGACAAATTGCCTTGCACTCTAGGGCATTTGCCTTTATGCGGCCTATCGAGTTCAATTCCCAGCATCCCATTTTGTCTCCCAAATCTACCAGGAGTGACCTAAGCACAGAGCTAGAAGTAAACTCTGAGCACCAAAGCTGTGTTTGTACCAAAATAACAATAATAATGTTAACAAATTTAGGAAATGAAAATCAGCCAAGATTTTTGGTTTTCTTTTGTTGGGTGAAAGGCAGGTTCACTCCAGGAGGTGCTCAACTATTAAGTCCATGAATAAATTTTTAGTAAAAGTAATTTAGAACCATTTAAACATTTCAACTTCAGATTGGGAGCGAGAGATAGTATAGCTGGTAGGGCACTTCCCTGCATGCACATGACCAACTCAAGTTCCATCCTAGCACCAGCATCTTATATCATTCCACAAGTCCACTAGAAGTAATCCCCGAATGCAGAGCCAGGAATAATCCCTGAGCACTGCTGTATGTGGCTCCCCCTAAGCAAAACAAAATAAAACAAATAAACAAAACAGATATTGCTACTTGGAATCTATAACTAATTCAGAAATGTCCTCAAAGTATTATGAAGGGTGTATATGTATGTGTAAATATTTAATATTAAGCTTCTTGTCTTGAATTTGTTGCTCAAGGATCACATCTTTATACTATCTTCCTTTAGAGACTATCTCAACTAAGAAACATAGAAATATTTTCCTAATGAAATGAACCTATTTACAACAAATATTATTTGAGTTGTTATTTTTCTCTCTAAATCTAAAATTGCATTTACATAAATTATGTGTTAAACTTTTAAGTATTACAGACAGAAAAAATTTTTATTAGAAAGGATTATTAGTCATGGTCTCAACAACTTTTTGCAGGTTTGTATTTTGGGTTTGGTTTGGGACTATATCCAATGTTTTCCAGGGGCTACAGCTGGATCATTGCTTTGGATCTCCTCCTGGCAATGTTGGGGGACCACATGATGCTGGGGGTTGAGGGTTGAGCTCTGGTATGAACAGCATGTACTCTAACATTCTGTGCTATCCCCCTTGACCCCTCAACAGTGAAATAGTTCTTTTACAGTATGGTACTCTGAGGAAAGTATGATTACTGTTTGCTATATTTTTTAAAACATTTGCATTGGCTTTATTTTTAGTATATATATTTTTAAATTTATAAATGCAACTACTAATAGTCGCACTCTTGCTGACTCCACTTCTGATATATGTTTTCAAGACAGGGTGGCAGCTTGATAGCCTTTTATCATCTCATATAATAATGGATGTGCTGGAGAGAAGGATGTTACCCACTGTGTAGGTGTATAATACTGAAGCAGTAAACACTGTACAATGTAAGTGAAACTTTTTGTACTATAGAAGTCAAATATTAATCTACTTAGTTGCATGATCTGACAAGGGAATTATTAACTTTCTCCAGTAAAAACCATTTGACATAGAGAATTTTGTCTCTAATCCCTTAGTCACTCCTTCTGTGACCTTAGGGACAAATATTTATTAACCATTAGTCATTCATCAGTTATATAAATTGCTCTCTTCTTTAAATGAGCAGATATTTGGAGGATAATTTAAAAGTCACTGACAATTTTTACTGTAGTTTATGTCATTATATTTTCAGGTTTATGACCCTCCCCCCATTTGTTTCATGCTGTGGCATTATCCTCTATTGTTAACTAAAATTCAAGTTCTTCCTCTCTCAGAAAGCTAGACTTGAACCATCAGAAATTTATCATATTCAAAAATTTACTTTTAAGCACTTGCTCACAAAATAGCTGCTTTATATTCTAAATAATGAAGAAATCGAGGCTAGAGAGATAGCACAGCGGGTAGGGCGTTCACCTTGCAAGCGGCCAACCTGGGTTCAATTCCCAGCATCCCTGAGCACTGCCAGGAGTAATTCCTGAGTGCAAAGGCAGGAGTAACCCCTGAACATCTCCAGGTGTGACCCAAAAAGCAAATAAAATAAAATAAATGATGAAGAAATTAAGTTGAGCCAAAGGGGGAAAGTAATCTTTTAAAACAGTTTCTCTAGAACATCCTTCCAAAAACTATCAACTAGAGTAGGATATATTATAATATCATTTTTGGGATCACAGTTAGAGTACAGCCGACAGGGTGTTTACGTTGCATCACTCTGACCCAGGTTTGATCTGTGGCACCCCAAGTGGTCCCAGAGCCTGTTATTAGTAATCTCTGGGCACAGAGTAAGGAGCATGCACTGAGTATGACCCCCAAACAAATAAAGAATATAAATTTTAAAGAAGAGCTCTATCAGAGGAAATTTATCAGTAGACCTAGGCATCTATGAGATTATTAGTATAATGAGTAAGTTGTAGTGATGTGGGTGGGCCCCACGGGTGACTTATGTGAAGTGGGGAGGAGAAAGACGGCCACTTTCTCCCCACCCGCCTCTGCCACCCGGAACCCTGGGTAGGCTAGGACCAGTAAAGTCTGCAGTGAGCACCTGCTCGGCTCGGGCCTAAGCCCTGCCAGCCCCACAAGGTGGCCATCAAGCCACACCTGAAGTCCGCTTGATCTTCTTGGCACGGGAGTTAATCCCCGCCACCCGATTGCTCGGGGAGCCACTGACTCAAGCTGGGACGAGAATTTGCTCTTCGCAGGAAAGGAGAGACCAGTCCCAAGCCTTACCCGAGGTTTCTGGGGTTCTTGTCTCGCTCGCAGAAAAGAATTTCAGGAGTAGACGAGCAGTGAAATAACAGGTTTTATTTGGAGACTTTTGGAGAGGGAGAGAAAGGGATAAGCAGATAGTAAGAGAGAGAGAGAGAGAGAGAGAGAGAGAGAGAGAGAGAGAGAGAGAGAGAGAGAGAAACGCGTCCAGAGGGAACGCGGGCTTCTCCGAGGGTGGAGAGAGCGCCAAGTGGGCTCTCGAGCTGGCTCTTATAGATCCTTCTGACTCAGAATGTTCTGGAATCTCCTTGGGGCTGGGTCACTGGAGTTAACCAGATTGAAAGGGGGTTCAAGAATCCTTCTGACTTGGAATGTCCTGGAATCTCCTTGGGGCTGGGTCGCTGGAGTTAACTGGATTGAAAGGGGGTTCTCGGAAAGGAGGAATTTCATGGGGAGGAGGCCCATATCTTCAGGGTCTGGGGATGGTCTTATCAAGTCCTTATTCTCTGTCTCCACAGGGTGGGTTGGTCCTAGAATTCTTCTTCTATGAGACTTTGTTTCATTGCAGAGAGCCTTTCCCTATCTACCTGCCTACATCAGTAGTAGTGTTTCACAAAGCAAGTTTTCAAAGCTTGACTAATCAAACTATATGATTTTTACTTTAACTTACATAAAACATTTACTTCAAAATACATTTCAATCAGTAAGTTGTCTTCTACTGAAGTCACAATTTAATTTCTTAATCTATCCATTTTCTCAATTCTTTGCATTCATCATATTTGAAGTTAAGGCCTAATAGGAAGTCAGTATATCTGTATGAATGACAGGATGAATTAAGCATTACAATTTGACAAGTAAATTCAGTATCATATCAGTAGAGTTTTGTGTGTGTGTTTATGTGTGTGTGTAATTTTGACTTTGAAGCACAGATAATGTTGGTGACTTACATCTCTAATTCATTTTTTCTTCATTAATAAATATATGTCTCTTTACTACTATGTTGTTTTTTATAATTCTATTATATATTCATTGTTTGAATATACTTTTCACTAGTTTATTTTAATAAATAAAAATAAAAAGATAAAGTAGACTGTACAACAGATTAAAGTGAAGAAGGACATAAAAATCATTAAAATACTTCTTAATTACAAAGAAAAATACAGCTATTTATTTTTTCCTCAATCTAGTTTTTTATCGATTTTTTAAGAAGTACTACCATACTACATAGTTCCAATTAAAATTTGTCTCGAGGTTAAAATGGAGTGGACACAACTAATTTAATTTTGGGCACACTGAATTAAAATTTGGAATCCATAAGTTGGTAAGTTGTGCAGATGAACAGTTATGGTTCTTGAAATGCTAGGGACAAATGAGAAATTTTGAATGAAGTCCTGGATTGCCTTGTTTTCTGAATTTTCTTATTTGTGCCATAAATAACTTTAATTTTCATTTCAATTTTTCTAGTTGAATAACAAAGTCTTTATTTTCCTACTTGATTCACAGTCATTGGCATCAGTATGATTAAATAATCACTGTTGTTAGAATAAAATATAATTTAATGCAAAATATTTATAAAGCTATAATATGCTATAAACTTTTGAGATATTATTTTATCATTTATATATAAACATAAAGATTTTATATTTTTTATTCCCTAAAATGTGTCACATTAAATTTTCTTAAATTATCTTAAGAGTGTATAAATACAATTTAGTAATATATATTTACAATTCTTTATATTTTCACCAGCAAATAAAGCTTTTCATTATCTAACATAGCAGGTAATAAGATGGAAAAATATGAAAATACAGATATATTTATAAGTACGCTCAATTGCTTAAGCTAAGGAGATAAATAAGCTAGAGACACAGAAACTCAGTCCCTGGCACTACATGAGTCCCCTGATCATATCAGACATATCCCTGGAAACCCAACCCCCACACAGCACAAGTTGTGCTCCTGAAGGCCCTTAGTATGGCTGAATTTGAATACTGAACCACCAGTCAGGGGCAGCAGAGAATCACTGGGGATAGGCCCTAAACTCCCTAAACACTACCTGTTCCCCTCCCACACAAAATACATCCATATGGAAAACATTATTCACTTACATGGCCAAAGTTACCGAACTTGACTTTTTCTCTACTACTTTTCTACTATTACTATTACTTACTTTTAATGCGATAATAATGTGATTCTGATGGTAATTTTGTGAGTGGAGGTGAGAGATAAGGGGAATGAACAGAGGAAGGAAGGAAGGAGGGAAGGAAGGAAAGAAGGAAGGAAGGAAGGAAGGAAGGAAGGAAGGGAGGGAGGGAGGGAAGGAGAAGGGAGGGAGGTAGAACACTTCATAAATTATGATATGGAAAAACAAAATTTAATCAATATATAACTTCCAGTTAATTTCTCTAGATTAAATTTATTGGTATAATTCAGTAAACCAAAATCTAGATACATTTAATTTTGTAACACTATAATAGCAGTAATTAAAATAAGAAAGATCAAACAACCTCAAATAACAGTTTTATTTTATATATATTCTTAATTCCCTTAGTATCACTGTATCACTGTCACCCCATTGTTCTTTGAATTACTCGAGTGGGCAACAGTAACTTCTCTATTCGTTCCAGCCCTGAGATTTTAGCAGCGTCTCCTTGTCGTCTTTCCTAATATTTTGGAAGCTCTTTCAGGGTCAGGGGAATGAGACCCATTATTATTACTGTTTTTGGAATATTGAATATGCCATGCCGGCTTGCCAGGCTCTGCTGTGCAGGCGGGATACTCTCGGTAGCTTGCCGGGCTCTCCAAGCGGCATATATATATATTTTTTTTCTCTATCATATATGGTATGGTATTTATGGAAAATGGGTAAGAAGTGTCTTATAATGTGTCGAGCAGCCGCAAAAACGATCCATGAATATTTTCTCTCATAATTGAGGCTCCCCTCGAGCATGGAGCATGACAGCAGTTGGGTAGTAGAGGTCGACTGCCAGGGTTGGGTCCCTTGGGGTGGGGAGGGCTCTCACCCTCACCCCTCTGGGGCGCCCCAGTGAAAACAACCTGACGCGGAGTCAGGTGGCATGGTTATGGGGGCCTCATTTTATACCCCATCTGGAAAGAGCAGCCGTGAGTTCTGGAGAGTGGCCGATGAGAAGGTTTTCTGGTCCCGGCAGGGTGTGGCTTATGGGTATGAACCCTGGGTCGCTGGGGAAGCAGGCAGAGGATCTCTGCTCCCGGTGCTGTTGAGTCCAGAGTCCAAGGTCACAAAGTTCCACATTATCTGGGTTCCGTGGGACTTCACTAATGTGTGAGGCTCAGCCCAAGCATGTGGAAATATACTTAGTTTATATATCATATTCTTAATTTATATAAATTAAGGTATTCTTAATATGTTCTTAATTATTCTCCAGATATTCTTTATATAAAAGATCATGGCTTAATGAATAATTATATATTCTTTTGTTCATATTATATGTATTCTTTATGATGACTTTGTTTTATTGCTTGTTTGCTATTGGGCCACACCTGTGATGCTAAGGGGTTACTCCTGACCCTGTATTCAGGTATTACTCCTGAAGCTTCTCTGGGGACCATACGCCAGAGATCAAATTGAGGTTGGCTGTGTGCAAGGCAAGCACCTTACCCAATGCAATATTTCTCTGGCCCCGCTTTGTTTTGTTTGCTGTTGTTAGTTTTGGGGTGGGGAAGG